GCGAGCGAGAGGTGGGGGGCTCCCGGCCGTGTCCTGGGACAAGTGGGGGTGCCGCTCCCTGATGATGAACCACAGGCGGATGAGGAGGGTCTGGCAGTGGGGTGGTGTCCAGGGAGGCCGCGGTGCCCGCCGGTGAACGGGGGGGTTGGGAAGCCGCGGCCTTGCGTCCCCACAGCGCTACGCCGTAGGTTATCAGCGGTGCAGATGGTGAGGTAAAAATGCATCTCGGTTAAAAACCCCCTGGGTAAAAGGCCACGTCTGGTAGCTCAAGATCTATTCGGACATGGCAAAGGCAGAAACAAAAAAAAGAATGAAAATTATTTAAGGGAATCAGTAATATTTGCAAAGGGCTTCGTGGTGCTTGCGTCCCCACAGCGCTACGCCGTAGGTTATCAGCGGTGCAGATGGTGAGGTAAAAATGCATCTCGGTTAAAAACCCCCTGGGTAAAAGGCCACGTCTGGTAGCTCAAGATCTATTCGGACATGGCAAAGGCAGAAACAAAAAAAAGAATGAAAATTATTTAAGGGAATCAGTAATATTTGCAAAGGGCTTCGTGGTGCAGGGCACTGGGCAGAGTATTAACAGCTCTGGGTGAGATATGTTTTCTCTCAGCTGGCTGTGTGCTCGCGGATCCTGGTCAGTGCACATCGCCAGGCTGAATCCTGGGAGAATTCCTCCTGTGAATCACTGGGCGAAGGCGGTGGGAATTCCCCCAGGGAGGGGTTGGGAGCTCATGCTTCTGTGGAGTAAAGAGCTGTGCACTGCAAACCCTGCCATGGCTGCGGCAGGCACGGGGAGTCCGGTCAGTGGTATGGGCTGTCAGTGGTGGACACTTTCATGGGAAGTGCTGCAGCTGCCGTGTGAGAAGCCATGGAAGGATGTGCCTACCTTTTGTGCCGCGTGGGTTTGAGCATGTGTTTTAAGTGCTTCCCTGTATTCCATTCTCTAGGTTAAGTGTTCTTTTCTATCAAAACCTGTGGCGTTAGTGATGTGGGGAAGATCTCTCCTTGGTTAACGTAATTGCCATTATGTTCAAACATTTTACAGGTTTTCCTGAGGAAGAAAAAAAAACCCATTATCTTCAGGGGCCTTTTACATATGTGAACATGAGATGTTTCAATCGGTGGAGGGCTCTGTCATAATCCAGTAGGAATGTCTGTAGGAAAGTAATGTGCTGTTAAAGCGGGCATCTATTCAGAGAAACGATGGCAGAAATGGCATTGTGGGGTCCATGTTTATGGTTTCTCAGCAACGCCGGTTGACGTCTCCTTAGCTGCAAAATTAAAGGGCTTTTTTTTTTTTTTCAACTTGCCAGATCTGCAAGCTTAGCTGGGGCTCCCCGCCACGCTGGGCTCCATCAGCCTCACGCATCATCAGGACTCAGGAATCAGTGCATGGAATTTAGTTAATAGCTAATAATTGATGCATGAGACAGAAGTGAGTCCAAAGCCTGAGCTTTGTGCACTCCGCAGGGCACTGTAAGGTATTCAAAACCTACTTTAAATGTTGAAGCATGCAGATCTAGCCCTGCTTGAACCCCATGGCTGGATCTGGTGATTAGGTACCATTTCTACATGTAATCCCGTTGTAGGGAATGACCTGTAGTTACATACCCACCCAAGCTTTTCTTTGATTTCACTGTGAGTTTTGGGTGTACAGAGAATGTAGGAATGGATCCTACATGATATATTGGCAGATAATTCACACAGGCTACTTCTTGGCTGCGTTGTGTGTGTTTTCTTTCTGCAAAGCCTGCCTTGCAGTCGTTTAAGTGCCATCAGATTTATCGGCAGGCGCTTTTGAACACAATTTAGGGAGAGAAGGCCATCAAGCTAACTTACTCAGTTTTGAAAAAAAAAGCATGTATATCTAGGTTATTTTTGTGCATGGTTATCCTTAGGGCTTTAAATGGCTATAAAGTAAGGACTAGAGCCATTTAAAAGAAGTTACTAGGAAGGGACCACAGTGACCTTGGCAATATCTGATTGCAGGCTAAACTTTCTGGGTGGGCATTCAGCACTGGATACAAAAAAAGTAAAACCTTGGCAGGAGCTGCCGGGTCTCATTATTTTCAGTAGAGCTTGACATTTCCAGCGTTTAAAAAAAAAAAAAAAAAAAAAGAATAAAGTCAACAACTTCAAAGCAGTAGGGGCGTATGGAAAAAAATGTTTGAGCAAAACCAATTCAGCAGCGATATAATCAGTGATATACTTACAATCAAAGAAATAGGTGAAGGGGTTTTGGGGTTTTTTTTTTCAGCACTGCTTATGGATTTTCTTCTCCCTTCCCTGTCCCCACCCTACAGGAATGGGAGCTGGTGGTGCTGGGGAAGTTGAAGTGGAACCTTGCAGCTGTCACCCCGCATGATTTCATTGAACACATCCTAAGGAAGCTGCCTCTACCTAAAGACAAGTTGCTTTTGATCCGGAAGCATGCACAAACGTTCATCGCCCTTTGTGCCACAGGTAGGCCAAGGTGCTCTGGGTGCACCTGCTGCTTGCTGTGTGGGTAGGAGGGCACATTAGTTACTGGTGGTACAAAGGGTTTTCATCCCTTCCATCCTTACACAATGTGGGAAGAGAGCTGAAGCTGGTGGGGCAGTTGGCAAAGGACATTATGAATCAGGCTCCAAAACTGCAGAGAAACAATTCTTGCAGTCGGCAACTGTAGTGCAGTTGCAATCCTACTAACTCTAATAACATGTGCAGCGCCTTTACTGTGAAGTCAGTAAGGCTGGAGAAGATTCTCTCTGCTTTGATGGAGCTAGTTTTTTAAAGGGCCACACGTTGTAAGGACAGAAGTGGGACAACTGAAGTACTAGAAGCTGTTACAACAGATTAGCCCAAAATGTGTGTTTGCAGACTTTTTATTAACTGGATGCTGTCCAGATAAAAAGTAAAAATTGTATTTTAACATGTCTGTGATAATACCACATTGCAGAAGCATAGGGAATGACAATTATTAAACATTTAGTTGCTTTCTTAACTTCACTCCAAGATAGCAGGGAACTGTTACACTCCTCTGTTGCTGTATGTTTGGCTGAATATAGTTTCTGAAGATTTAGATGGGAATAACTGCTTCTGTGGAAGAGAGGCTCTTAATTTATACCTGTCTGCAAAACACTTTTTTGTTTATTTGGGGTTTTTTGTTTATTTCTTTTCCCAGTGACTTTCAGAAAATGTGTACTCTAATTTTCATCCAGAGGATTAATGGTTAGACCACCTCTTAGAAGCTAGTCCTCGAACAGATGAACAGCATGCAGGGTTTTCCAGGGTTACTATTAAGTATGGGTCAGTGTTTGAGTTCACTACAGATTGACATACCTAGTCCTTTATGATAAGAACTGTTCTGCCTGCTTGCGTGTTTGCAGAGGGGAATAGAAGACAGGATGCAGCTTTTGGGTATGAATGTCTACTGCTATGCCTGCTTTTTGCTTTTACTATACAGGCCAGTTTTGGCTACCTCAGATGATCTGTTTTAGAGAAATGTGTCTGGGCAGTGTTAGGGTTAATTGGCTTGGTTACCAAGATGCTCAAGCTTTCCTTTCCTTTCCTATGGCTGCATGATCCTTTTTGGGGCAAAAGACCACAGGTCTCAATAGAAATATTGCTCAAAGTCTGCAGGATCACTTTTGGTAGTTCATCAGACATTTCTGGACTAATTAGCTTTCTACTTCAGGATTAATCTCATACATGAGCTTTGCCTTCTTTCTTTGCCTTACTCAGGATTCATTCACACTTCTCTTTTTCTTCTGAAAAAGACGGCCTTTCCCAAGAATGTTTCTCTGGATCCTCACAATGCCATCAGGCATCAACCTCCAATATACTTGGATATTGTCTTCCAAACCAGATCAATCTTCCCTCGACTTTGTTCTTTTGTTCCTTTCACCCTTTCGCCTTCTACATTAGTGGTTTCGGGGTTTTGGGGGGGGCTTGGGTTTGTTTTTTTTTAGTCCAAGAGGATGAGTGACCTAGATTTCATTGTGATTTAACTTTTCAAATTCTTCTCTGTAACTGTTTGCCCTTGAAGTTTTCCATATAATCAAACCATTGCAGGACTGTGGGCCATGAAGGACTTTTCCGTAGTCCGTGGCTTCTTTCTACTCCCTCCATGAATTCTTTGATGGTTAGCTCCGTGCTTTACTAGTCCATTTACTGAGATCCAAAATGGCATTCTCTTTCCAACCCTTAGCCCAGCCATGCACTTCTCTCATGCGCTTCCCCTGTGTGATCTGCTGCTCATGTTATGCATTTCATGTTACACATGAACTGAAGTCCTCTACATAGAGTTTAAGGACACAACAAGTTAGAGTTTCTTTTCTTGCAAATGAAAAACATAATTGACTGTGTATGGAGTTTCCCAAAAGACAGCACACCATAATGCTGAATGTAGATTTTATTTTCTTATCCCATTTTCCACAAACCACTGGGTTGGCATTTGATTTTGAGGAGGACCCACAACCCCTTGCAGTCTCGAAAACAGAGGTCTTACCCAAGCCCTCATTCCCAGTTTTCTACCTCATTGCCAGTTTACTAGCAAGCTACTAATCCCATTTGCATTACAGAAATATTGTTACTACTGTATTTCCCTTTCACTGCTATGCTTCTCAAAGTCATTCTTGCCCTCCTTGATGAAGAAAAGCCCCTCCTCATCAGACTTCCTTCCAAATCCAGTTGCCATTTCCTTTTCTTGTCCTATTTATTGCAGATCTGTCATCGGCTGCTGTGTTTCTTCTTTCCCTTTCTCCCTCAAAGCTTCTGCTCTCCACCACCTTGGGTTAAGCCTGGTGTTTCGTTTCCCCATTTGCCTTCTTTCAGCAATATGACCTCCTTTGACATGTGGCTGCGCCTTCCCTTGCTCCCTCCATGCATGTTTTTAGCCTGGTTTTGACTCTTTACTGTTACCAGACCTGACTTTGTTGGCTGGCTAACAGCTCTGGTCTGGAACACAGAAATTAACCTCTTCTTATTTCCTAATTCGTCTCAGTGTGGCTTTCTCTGCTTTCAAGTACTTTTTCTTCTTCTTTAGTGTATCGTACAAAATCTGGCATATTTTGAACTTTTTTCATCTAGCCTGCATTGTCCTTCAGCAACTGCTCCATTTTAATTTCCTAGCGAAAGCATAACACCAGAAATTCCCAAGTGTTCCCTGCCTTCACAGAGCCACCTGTGATTCCAGTCATGCAACACCTTGTATCAGCAAACAGAGAGGGAAGCAGCCATTAACAGTTCTGGATGTTGGGCTGGATGTGTAAGGATCGTTTTGATATTCATCTCTATATTCCTTCTGTTTGAACATTATACAAAAGGAGATGATACTTGCTTCTTTTGTATATTCCTTTCAGTCATGTTTTATAATTTTGGCATTCCCTCTGTTTCTCTGTCTTTATATTGAGGCCAGTTTCTGAAAGAAGCTGTGTGGATATAAATCCACAGCCTCTCCCCAGTCCTTGTGGTGATTAATGATTCACATGCGCATGACTGAAACTGGAATATATCCCTCTTTGCCCTTGGTCCCATCTGAACATGTGGCTGCTGAGCAAGACAGAAGCTTATTCTGTGAATAAAAAGTTTTTTCTTTGCCTGCCCTGCACTCACAATGCTTTCAGGACCCTACTTCTCCACTGGAAGGGGCTGAAAGTGGTGTTTGCCCACAACCTGTCCGTGACTCTGCTGACAGCACCGTGGCTGTGCAAACAGGGTGCTGTCATTGAGCAAGAGCTCGATCTGTTGGCTGGGAATTGCCCATGCTTAGGCCAGCTTTCTGCCAGTTGCCTCGCTTACTGCCCGGTAAGAGTGTATAAATTGACATGCACTGGAACAGCCTAGTGTGTCATGATGTCGTTTATTTTCTCATCCCACTGGTGGCTCTCTGTGCAAGTTACAATCTTCTTCGGGAGTCATCTGAATTTTAAAGACATTAAGAGGGTGCACTTGGAGTCCTCATCCTTACGCTATAGCTTGGCAAGATCGATGCTAACTGCTTACTGTTTATCTGTGAGCCCAATGGAGATAATTCTTTTGCTTTCTGGGATCACATTGTTTTGCCACTCTGATCCTACTTCCATCTGTTCATTGCTTTTCACCCTTCATTCCTCCTCTGTCTGTTCACACAGCAGCACTCCACAGCTTGGAAATGTATTCTCAGGGGTTGCCCATTTGCTTGTATGTGCCATGCTCCAAGCCAGGGAATTGCTTCTGGAGCAGTGGGAGAGGTCACTAGTTACAGAGCTGCGTGCAGAGCATGCCATACTGCCATTGAAAAGAGAATGTGCATTATTGCCTCAACTTCGGCGTGCCGTCCATTCCTTCTTCTTCTTCCAGACTGTTCAGAGTCACAGATGCCCAGCTGCTTCCCTATGTTACACTCTCTTGCTGGAGGCTGGAGCCACTGTTTTGGCTCAGGATACCCCTTTTTATGTCAGAGCCTGTAAGGGAATGGATTTTGAGGGAAGGCAGGCTGTGCAGGTCAGGCTTTCAGAAAGAGGAGCTGTGCATCTCTGAACACAAGCTGTAATAGAGGGACCAGTTTCAGTGAGGAGGTTTTCAGTGTTTTATTTAAGTGGCATGCAAAACTTGGAAGCAAAAAGCTTTGCAGACTTGCAGGGACAGAAGGCAACTTGTAGATCCCTAGACTCGGCCCTTTGCATGGTCTCTTCTGTGCTTCAGCCGAGTCCTATGGCAGGTGAGATATTCCCATGGTGGATACAATGCAGCATCTCATACACCAGTGGCTTTCAAAGCCCATGTCTGCAAAGAGGCTGAGAAAGAGGAGGAAAATTTCATCTTCAAGTCAGTTTTGTACAGAGTGCCAAACCTCTGCCCACTGTGTCTGGGACATTAATCATCTACATTTGAAAGCTGAGAAGGCTTTTTTTAAACTCCTGGGCCAAATTTTGGGTCCTTACTCAGACAGAAGTTCTGTGGAAGTCAATGGGAGTGTTGTTTGAGCAAAGACTGCAAGATTAGGCCCACAACCCTAGTAGTGATCTGGAGGGTAACCACATAGAATGCCTTGTAACACCAAGAGGTATGTTTCGTCCTCAGGGCTCCTGCTGGGCAAGTCTACTATGCATCCTTCCCCTCTCAGCCAGTGTAAGAGTTACTGGGCTCTTACACTGGCTTACTTGGGCTCAGAGGACAGAAGCGTGGTACGAGTTTTATTTGGGACCTGTTCTTTGCGGAGGGAAAGAAGGAAGTCCACAGAGGCTTTGTTGTGTGGATTTATCTCTTAGAAACAAAATATACATTTCAAAGTGGCAGTGGTTGCATGAATACTTCTTGCATGACGGAAGAAAGAATAATACATGTGAATTTAAACGGTACAAAATAAGGCTCTTTCTGGTTCTGGGAGAGGCAGTATATTAAGTTTTCCTGCAAAATGAAGCCACAAGAACCGTGGAAACTCCAACAACAAGTAAGCAGGGTGTGGGGAATTTTTCAGATGAGCAGACTCACTCCTTAAG